TTTTTTTTCGGTTTTTTTTGTCTTGTTTTGAAACGAGAACATCAGCAACCGGGTGTAGAGGGGTTGCTGATACGAGCAGACATCCCCTCTACTGTACCCGCTCTTGGATGCCTCTGTTCCATTGGCGGGGAGCTGGACCTGCTTCAAACCGGGTCCAGCGTCCCTTCACAACGTAAGCAGGAGGCTAAATTACATGTAAAAAAAAAAAACACAAAAAAGTTAACATGTCATACGTATAGGTATGGTAGTTGTTTGAGAGCACCATGTGGCAGCCCCCTGGTCCGTTGAGTCGGCTGCAACAGTACGACATAGCTATTGCGACTGCAGTATTCGCTGTCCGAGTCAAGTCATGTTGATGTGCCCACTCTGGCCTTGTCATGTCATCGCTGCCAGCACCAGAGAAGATAATTTTTAAATATGAAAGCTCATGCCCTAACTGCTATTTGTGTTTTTTTTTTCTTTTTTTTTTTGCTATTTGTGTTTTACTGTTTGATGGAGCTCTAGGAGAAAATCCGCACACATAGGACTCCATACTTGGTTGCCGGACGGTATGGAGGGGCCTACCCCAGTATCAGCTGTCGTCACCTTATGTACTGCTGGGAAGATCGGAAGCAACAGTAGGCGAAGGGGTCTTTCTTTTGAGTTCACTTCTCTTAAGACTCTTTACTTGAGTCTTGAACGAGTCCCACCTGGTCCCACGTGGTCCCACCTGAATGGTGGTGGAATGAGATTTGACTTTTGAGTTCAAGTCTTTTGAGACTCTTTCTTTACTTGAGTCTTGAATGAGGCCCACCTGGTCCCACCTGGTCCCACCTGAATGAGTGGAACTTCATGTGTGGCACATATTGTTTGTATTTTTCTCATTACTAAAGACTGAATGAACATAGCAGAGTGTGTGTGTGAAGCCACACTCAAAGATAAACAAGAAAGAGATGGGGGCAATACGATGACACGCAGTCACAGGCCGCGCAGCAGCGCATCGAGTCACCTTGTTGATTCCGTTGCAGATATTGCTCAAGGTGCTGCCCCCAAATCCAGTCAAAATCACGCATCAAGGTACTAAAAAGTAAGCTACATTCCCTGTGGCGTGCCGGAGGCCGGGGTCTCAGAGGCTAGATGGCTGTGGTTGGGGATGGGACTGGCCGGGAGTGCCTTTCTCAGCCCCATGCGGTCGCAGCCTTCATCTGAGGGACGCCAGGCGGCCCAGGCCCTCTTTTTTTTTTTTTTTTTTTTTTTTTTTTTTTTTTGTTAACTCACACCAGTGTTGGTGGTGCTGATAAGAGCAGGCACCACTAGCACTTGGGGAGAGGCTCCATCTATTGGTGGGTCCAGCGTCCCTTATACAGACTGAGATTGTAGTAGTACATCTGACACACCATTGTGGGATTCCTGCCAGCATTGATTACCCTTGGATCCAGGGGATTGACTGAGCAGGATATTGGAAGGGGGGGGAACCTCTTCACCTTGAATCCGACGCCAGGCCCTCTTCCTTGTTTTAATTGAAAGTTTTTCTTTAAAAGAAAAAAAAAGAAACTTCGTGAAAAAAAAAAGAAAAGTAGTTTAAACTTTAAAGTACGCGACATTCTTTCTGAAAAGAGCAACGGTCTTGTTTTTTCTGTTTTGTTTTTTTTTGTTTCCCCCCCCCCTTTTTTTTCATCCCATTGTATCCTTCTCTCCAATCTTTCATTGGGGCTTGTTAGACACTCCTATTGAAATCCTCGGGCAAAAGGAAAAATTCCTTTTGGTTCAAAAGGAAATTTGGGCCCTTCGTTCCACCTGTCCTCGTGTATGTCGCCCGATGACATTTCCTTCGAGCAAAAAAAAAAAAAAAAAAAAAAAAAAAAGAAAGAAAGAAAAAAAAAAAGTGCTTGAGGCCTTCAGCCAATAGGGTGCCGCCACGATCCAGATTCTCGGTTGTAACGTCTCTCTACCCATGTGCCCGCTCCTCTCCGCGAAACACGGACTCCTTTTGTCCAAGGGACCTCGTGAGGTCCCTTGGGCAAAAGGAAGAAATGGCTGGGGAATCCTCGGAGCCCAAGGAATTTCCTTCGGAGTGTTTTCACTTTTTTTCCCCGACTGCATTCCCGAGGATAGGTGGAACCAACAATTCCTCGGGGACTTTACGCGCCCGAGGGGTGTATAACGAGCCCCATTATCCCTTGACAGCCTTGAGATATCATCATTGCATCATTGCAATTGATTGAACTGACCGGCCCCAGATAATCCTATTCTGGTCATCTGATTGTATCTGGATTCGAGCTTGCAACTTTATATCCACAGTTTGTTAGGTGTACCGACTGACAAGGCACATTTTGGTAATCGTACACCTACTTTAGACTGTCAGCCATATCTGTACGGATTACGAAATGAAATCACTATTATTGATATAGAAAGAACACTTGGCCGTTGGTGCAAGCAAGAGCAACAGCCTTGAGAGTATCAGCGTCGAGTTTACGGCATCCATGGCAATGCATGATAATTATGTCATTCCGTTCATCGAGGTCCATCGGGATTCGAACGCAGGTCTATAATCCCGTTTCCAATTTCCACCTTACGTGCCAGCTGAGCTAGGCTCATTGGTGGACAAGGGACTTGTCGCGTAAGGTGGAAATCGGAAAATTGGAGGTGAACCGTGAACGGCCTTTTTCTTATCCTTTCATTTTTCGTTCTTTTTCCGTTTGCAGAGTCCTCGTTTAAACCACCGCTACCTCCGGGGCTCTTGTTGCCGAGGCGGAGCAGAACTGCGCGCCAAGCTTTGGCCGAATCGTGAGGGCGATATTTTTTGTTTTTTTGTTTTTTTGTTTTTTTGTTTTTTTGTTTTGGTTTGCCGCTTTTGAACACCAGGTCCTGGGTGTACTGGTTACGATACTTGGCTCTTCTTGAGGCCGAGGTCGCCGGTTCGAGTCCGTGCTTGCACGGAGGAGGGCTGTGGCCCAGACGTACTGATCCAATGACATTGGCAGCCACCGCCAGCCTTTTTGGTCGGGTAGCGCCCGGCCTCCGCCGGCCGCCGAAGAATGCGGAATACGGTATATTTTATTTACGACTTCGCCTTCCAGCGTGAAAGGTAGTGGTGGTTTAACCAATTATTGAAAATTTCTGATTGTGTAAGCCCCTCTCTCTGTCTGTCTTTCCCCCCAAAAAATAAAATAAACAGTGCTGATTGTAGTCCTTCGGGACATCCGTCGGTTAGAACTGTACCGATGCAGAGAAGATCAACATGGCCCCATGGGCTAGGATGGCGTGCATAACTCGAGAGATAGTCAATAGAACTATTAGCTAAAAGTTTTTTTGACATTGTGTTTTTTTACTCTTTTTGCACACCATCGCGGCAAATGCTCCTATTATCATGCAACCAATACTGCCAAAAAAAAAAAAAAAAAAAAAAACATTGTTCGCCATGTTGGATCATGTCAAAACCGAAAGGAAACACGCGCAACATATTTGCACGATAAGAAAAGAAAGAAACTTAGCTGTTATATTAACTTATATATATATATTTGTGACAATATATATATATCTGTTTGTGACGATATATATATATATTTAAAAAAATAAAAAGCTGTGCAGAAAAAACTTGTACTGATTGAACCTGGTCATCCTTTTCCTTGTGTGTGCAGGTCAGCCCTCAAAAGCTCTACTCTGTGATCGTAGGCATTGAAAAGGACTTGAACTCTGCTGGCCAAAATGAGGGAGAAGGCCACAAAGAGCAGAATCTCGTGAGACTCGGCTGGAGAGGATCTGCCGACGATCATTCCGATGCGGATGTGGAAGCAGATGTGGAATCGGAGCGTGGCGCAAAAGAGGCCAACAAAGCAACAGAGTTTAGGGTGAAGCAGGAAGAGGATGTTGATGAAGGAGGTGGTCTTGAGGCAATCAACACACAGAATTCTTTTCCACATTTCCGCTATTGAACCCATGTAATGGATGTCCTTCCAGGGACCTTGTCCCATATGCACCGTTGAGTGGACCTATCTCAATGGTGTGACGGCTGAAACTGCTTTTTTTTAATTCTTTTCAAATTCAGAAATGCATTAAAAAAATCCGCGTGAGATACAATGCATTCTTTTTTTTTTCTTTCCCACAATTGGAGTGGCATACGTGACGCCCGAAGAGTCGCTCCGATCCTATGAAGAGTTGCCCTATTCCCGTAGTTGACGGATATGTGGTCCTTCAAAGGTCGCACCAAATTGCCCGTAGTTCACGCATATTCGGTCCTTCAAAAGTCGCAGGAAAAAAGCGAAGTACAAGCGACATCACAGATTTCTCAAAACATAATAGAATAACATTAAACAAAAAAAAAAACTCCAGGGGCGAGGTCCCACTAGCAACGGGATAGGATAGAAACGAGTTTGTGGGGCAGTTGAGTGACCCAAATCCTGCCGTGCAGTACTCGTGATCCCACGGTCAGTATTTTACATGTATTTTATTACCCGAAAAAGTAAGGAGATCTTTGTTCCCCTCCTCCTCTCCTTAACACTGGGCATGCCCGTGCAAAGACAGCTTCCCGCCAGAATCTTTTCAATCGGTTGGGGGTGTGGCCAACCCCAAACGAGGTTGGGGTCGGCGTTAGCCCACTGGATAGAAGATTTTCAGCATTTTACTTGCTGTTGTGCAATTATCTCATTGGGTGGGTGGGGCCCTCCTTCAATCACAGAGTATAGGGAGGGTGCCAGGATCACTGCTGACAGAAGTCAAGCTTTTTTATTCCCCAAAATGTGGCGGTTACTTTGTGCACTGTTTTTGCAACCACCACCATCAGATCATTTGTGATGTGATGGCTGGCAAGCACTCTGCCGTGATTTCTGGTGGGAGGTCTCTGTTTCTTTTTTTTTTTTTTGGCCTTTTCCCTGTTTTCTCAGCCCAGAAATTCGTAATCAACTTGTGTGGCCGCTGCCACTCAGTGTCACACTGGATCGGCCACACACTCCGACTGCTAATGGGACCTCGCCCCAGAAAGGACGGCAACGGTCGTTGAACTGGCCGTCTCCAAAAAAGGAGACAGCTAACTCAACGAAACGTGGCGAGGGTAGGGGGCGTAGCATTCGAGAAAACGTCATTTTTGGAACTATTTTGTTGGAAAGAAAAACGCGATAATATCTAATCGCAATTAAAAAAAGAGCGGACCGCTGGATGACTGCGAGGGCATGCATCTCCTTCGTCGCGTACAGTCGCACGGAGTAGAAAACTAAACATGGACCTAGCTCAACGGATGAAGCGGGACAAGGTCCCATACATCCATTAAAAGTTGGCACAAAAAATATAGAGAACATTAGCATCGCCCCTGTGCTTTTGACAATTACACACAAATTGAGAAATAATCTTTCGATTTTCAAAGGGAAAAAAAAAAAAAAAAAAAACATACTCACATTTCTCTCATGATGTTGGGCTTCAAAGAATTAGCCTTAAAAAAAAAAAAAAAGGGGGAAACAAAGCGCCGGTTTCGCTGCCATTGTTTGAAACGACGACTTGTGTATTTGAGGGGAGAAAATGGTGCTTAAGTGCCCCTTTTTTTTCCTTGTTCTTTGTCTTTTTTTTGAAGCCCTTGTGTGTTGTAGAGGCGACGAACTTTGTGAAGAGCTTTTCTGGAGCAATCAATGCAGTTCAGGCATCCTTCGGCCAGACGGAAGGAAGCTTGAGTGCGGTGGAATAGAACCGCGCTGACGGAAAAGGCGCCAGGACCATAAGGACCTGTTTTCATCAGAAAAAAAAAGGATACGCACTCTGACTGGCACCATCACCTACAGTGTTCTCCTCCGCCTCAAGGTGCACGAGTGTGCACCCCTAGGATCCCCAATCGTCGTGCTGTTCCTTGGCGAGCTGGCGATTGAAGGTGATAGGGGCTTCCTAGTTCAAGATTTTTCAGCTTTCGAACCTCGGTAATTTGCGGCTCCCTGCAAAGTGTTGTGTGTAGAGTTCTTTGAACTTTTTTCATATAAACTTGTTATAAAGCCTTCTTCATGGTGCACGTCCACCGCCTTTGCCCCAACGCTACCAACGCTCCCGGGGCAATCTAAGGCCCTGATGTGTCACCCTTCTGCCACTTAAAGCACCAGTACATGCCAGCTATCGACTGCGGGCCCCTGTCGGAGTCTGCCCGCCACCAATTCATTTTATCTACGGCGCTCGGCCTCCTAAATTTTCGGAGACACTCAAAGCAGGTTCTTCAGTTGCCTGGGCCCATGTACTTGTGGTTTAACACGGAGTCCAAAGATCTCGTCAATGGGTGTCAGTTCCAAATTTCAACCAAGTGGGGTAAGCTCCCTTGTTGTATCGAGCCTGGGCAGCCTCGGCTTGCAACCAGATGTTAAACCACCAGTACCTACCGGTTGGGGCGGCCGTTAACGCGGTAGCGGAATCGGCCTGCACCTCTGGTCCAAATTCATTCGAGGCCAGGGGGTACGAAAAATGCCGTAGGTACTGGTGGTTGAACAGATGACTCAATCGTTGAGGGTATGAGCATGGATTGGGCTTCCACAAAGGGGAAAAAAAAAAAAAAAAAGCTTCCACCTTTGTGTCAGTGAGCTGGACGTACAATCTGACCTCGCCCATCCAGTTGAGAATTCTTTTTTTTTTTTTTTTTTTGACAGATGGCTCAACCGTTTAGGGTATGAGCATATGGATTGAGCTTCCTGGGGGCGCCAAAAAAGGGAAAAAAAAAGAGCTTCCACCTTTGGGTCAGTGGGCTGGAAGTACAATCATTGACCTCGCCTATCCACTTGACGGTTTTTTTTTTTTTTTTTTTTTTGGTAAACCACCACTACCTCGGAGCCTCTTTTGGTCGATCCTGATTTTACCTGCATGCCAAGTTTTGCTGAGCGTAGAGAAATAGGGTCTTTTTTTTTTTTTTTTTTTTTTTTCGAGTTGAACGTTGTATTTTAAAAATTTCTGGTACCTCGAAGGAAAGAAAAGAGGTCGGATACGTCCATGAAAACAAAAGAGTTTGGTTGTGATAGGGGTTAGATACGTTGTCCCGATTTCAGTGCGAGTATGCCCTCAGTGATTAATTGCCTTTCACAAATGGAAACAATTGCTTTTCCAAATGTCCATGGAAAAGAAAAGTGACGACGACAATGTGACAAGGAGGAGGAAATACAATCGGAGTGCGATTTTCAGAGTTTCATACAAACCAAAAAAACAAAGTGACGAGGGTGTGACAAGGAGGAGATGAGATGGAGGAGGAAGATGAGGAGATGGAGAGGGAGGTATGGAGGAGGAGGATGAGGAGGGAAGGAGGAGGAGGACGATGAAGACGTGATAAGGAGGATGAGAGGCCATCACAGTTTGAACTTAGAAGTTTTTCCATTAAAAACAAAGAAAAAAGTGACGAAGCCGTGATAAGGAGGATGAGAAGTGGATGGAGAGATGGAGAGATGGAGAGATGGAGGAGGAGGGACTGAGGAGGAGGACGACGATGATGACAACGACGAGATACCATCACATTTGGAAGTTTAAAGTGTCCATTAAAAAAAAAAAAAAAGTGACGAGGCCGTGACAAGGAGGATGAGAGGTGGAGGAGGGGAGATGGAGAGATGGAGGAGGAGAGATGGATAGATAGAGGAGGAAAGGTGGACGAGGAGGAAGAGGAGACATGGAGGAGGAGGAGGACGATGACGACGAGGAGATACCATTACGTTTCGAACTTAAATGACGAGGCGGTGACAAGGAGGATGAGAGGTGGAGGAGGAGAGTGAGGAGGAGGTATGGAGGAGGAAAGATGGACAAGGTGGTATGGAGGAGGAGGACGAGGAGACAGAGGAGGAGGAGGAGGAGGAGACATAGAGGAGGAGGCGGAGGAGACATAGAGGAGGAGGAAGAGGAAGAGGAGATACCATCACAGTTCGAATTTCAAAGTTTCCATTAAAAAAAAAAAAAAAGTGACGAGGCTGTGACAAGGAGGATAAGATGTGGAAGAGTAGAGATGGAGAGAAGGGGGAGAGGAGATGGAGAGATGGAGGAGGAAAGATGGATGAGGAGGGATGGAGGAGGAAAGATGGATGATGAAGGGTAGAGGAGGTGATACCGACACAAATCAAAGTTCACACAAGAAAATGTGACGAGACCTTGACAAGGAGGAGGAGGAGGAGGACAGGAGGAGGTGGAGGAGGAGGAGAGATGCACGAGGAGGGGAGGCTGATGAGAGCTGAAGGAGGAAGTGACGAGGAGGAGGGGAAGAGGAGGAGAGATGGAGGGGGGGATGAGGAGGAGGCTGAGGTGACGAGGAGATTGTCCGAGATACTATCGAAGCTCCGAGAGGTTCTGATACTACAAAAAAAAAAGAACGGGTGGCGATTGAGCACAGCCCACTACTTTTTTTTTTTGGGCCCTAGTTCGTTTTTTGGTGGGGGGTGCAGAACAACGACGGACCAACACCTGCACTTTTTTTTTTTTTTCTGGCTTGGGCCTGGGCTCTTGTGTGCGGCGCTGGTCGTGTGCTGCCTCCGTGGTCGGGGTGCGCTTGCGCGCCAACGGTCCGCGAATCGGCACAGGACGTGCGCTTGCATGCATGCCAACGGTCCGCGAATCAGCGCACGGCGTGCGCTTGCATGTATGCTTTTTTCGCAAATGGGACTACAGCTTGGAAATTTGGAAAGGTAGTGTGGTTAAATCCAGTTGACAACAACTTCAAGGTTGCTTTCCTGAAAATTTTTGAGGTCGCCGTGGCCTGACCAACTTGCAATGTACTAGATGCTTGGCTGCGGCTTGTCCTGCATCAATGGCTGGATCAACAGGGACGCGTGCCAAAGGGCTCGCAAGAACCGGGGCCCCGACCGAAGGCGCCAAACTGCATCAACGGTTGGGTGAAGGGCTGGATCAATGGCTGGATGCCCTCAGATAGCAGAATCATGAGAGGCTAGTAGAGGGTTAGGAGGAGAATTAGCATTGTCGGCCGGGCGTCTGATCAGTGAGAGAAGCAATTGCAGCAAATTGCTGTTCGAGGTGTAGGTCCTCTGGAGGGCTGAGTTTTCCCATTGTATGTTCGTCGATATTGGAAGGCCACGAGGTGGGAGAGCCTGGAGGAGCTGATAAGAAACCCGAGAAAAGCCACGGCCCGTGGGAGCCTTAAACCACCAGTACTTCCTAAAGTCGCGTAGCGTTAATGCTACGCAATTTTAGGAAACGTACGGGCCACTACAGGAGCGCCCAAATTCATCCAACTAAAAACGTTTCTACTCTATTTTTTTCCGCGGCCGATAGCTGGGCCAAGTACTGGTGGTTTAAGCTCGTTGAGTTATGAGCGTCTTTGAAAAGAAGGACAGAAGGCTAAGCCTTACTTTAAGAAATTGTGCCACTACCGTCTTCACCCGAATATAACGCCCGGTCTTTTTAGCTGTATATG